TGACACCCCACCCCACCCCCCTGGACATGGATAAGAAAATGAGCTCCAATAAAAGAGACAAAAAAGCTTCTCCTTCTACAGTCTATCCTGTAGTTCATGGAATATTTTGCTAACACAGAAATAAGGTTGACTAAATGTTTAGRCTAGGATCTTGCGCGATGAACAGCATTCAGAGCATGTGTTGTGAACATATGGATGAGGATCATAGTTCATGTTGAAGGTAAAGACTACAACAGTGGTTTCCAACCCTGGTTCTTTATGAACACTATATTCTGCAGGTTTTAGATGTTTCCCTGCTTYGACTCATCTAGTTTGTACGAAGACCTGCTGAAGAGCAGGGAAACAACTAAAAACATGAAAAACACGCAGGATACTGGTTCTGGAGAAACCAGGGTTGGGAACCACTGRGCTACATCTCAAAGCAGCTTCATGTTCATATTATTAAAACGTTTTAGTAACATTCAAGGGACTGTATCCTCCCAGGATGTGGATGCAAGACAAAATGCAACACCAGGTTGATCAGAGAGATTGTTTGGATGGTAGTAAAACCATGTAAGTGGATAAATAACATGAAGGGTACATTGTATGTTTGTTTCATCCTGAATCAGAGAAGAGCTTCTATCTACGGTAGTTACTGTAAAATTAACCCCTAAACACCCTGGAGCTTAAAGAGGCTGAATGTTYGTACTTTAAATTTTTTATAAAAAAYATTTCTTKTTCAGGTGTGGTGGCATCAAGCAAGAGCTCTCAACCATGCTTCTGTAGAGATAACAATCAAAGCTTATTCATGTTTCTTTTGTTTGTAAGTTYATATTTTCACAACTCTTTAACTGGCCGTAAAGTCTAACTGATGTTATACACTGTGCTAATTTTGAGCAACCATAAACAATTTGAATATGATCAATCTTTGCTTTAACAAAGTTGGAAAAAAAGACAAAAAAACATTGTCATATCTGACAATCTTACCGGACAACATTCTTTTAAAAAAGCACAACAATTTCCCGTAATTCTTTTTTGCACTATTGGAATTGATAAGGGATAAGCAGTGGTGGGCAGCACTAATCTAAATATTAGTTGCACTAACCCTAAAGCACTAACTCAAATATTTAGGTCCCTTCATTCTAAAGCACTAACGCACTGAAAAATGTAGCAAAAGCGAATTCTAAAGCACTAAAATAACCCAGTTGACACATTCTTCAGAGTCAATATCAGACAATATTTACTGTGTGCTGAATGTTATCATTTAGTGTCCTTGGCGTGCCAAATGGGAGTCACCTGCAGGCCGCATTTGGCCCATGGGCCTTGAGTTTGACACATGTGACCTTGCAGATAAGTGACATGCATTTGAACAAAATATATGACAGCTTTCACCCTCAACTGTGAACAATAATGTTGATCAATAACATTTAAAGACCTCAGTYAGTGCTTCTAAATTTAGCCCATAAATTTAGCAACTGCTAATCCACAGGAGTGCAGCAATACATATAACCGTATTGAACCATTCAATACAGTGCTTTAGGTTTAATACACACTTGTATCGAACAATACAGATTTATAAAATTAATTTTATCAGCTTGTCTTCTGAAGCTGTGCTGTGTTGAAGGCTCAGTAGATCTGTGTTCGACTACTCCACCTAGGCTGCATTGTCGAGCACAGATCCACAGAGCCTTCAACACAGCACAGCTTCAGAAGACAATATGATAAAATAAATTTTATAAATCTGTATTGTTCGATACAAGTGTGTATTGAACCTAAAGCACTGTAT